AGTTCACCTTGTGTCCGTGTCTTGGACCCAGAGGAGGTCAACTGAGTCTCCAGGAAATATTAAAAGCATAGGCTCCAGGCTCTGCCATGATTACTACTGTCTGTGAGGTCCTGAAGAGCCCATTAACCTCTCCACAGATCTCATGTCTTCATTCTAATCTGGGAGCAGAGATGGGCACGAACATACCCCTGGGGATACTTCATGGAAATCTCATTAATTTATACAACTAATATGTATTAAATATTAGGGAGTTGATTTGCCTTAGGTGGCAATGAATTTAGCTAGCATGCACAGGTCACAGGTTCCATCCCCAGCACCACATAATACTGGGTATGAACCGGGCATGGTAGTGCATGCCTTTAGTCCTAGCACTCTGGAGGCTGAGGCAGGCAAGTCTCTGTGAGTTCCAGGACAGCCTGGTCTACATAGACAGGGCTACATAGAAGGCCTTATCTCAAAACAACAACAACAACAACAACAACAACAAAATCCACTGGAGAGGGGGCTGCATGTCTCTCATCTCAGCACACAGAAAGAGGTAGAGGTAAAAGGATCAGGAGTTCAAGGCCATCTATGACTACATAGTTGGAAGCCAGCCTGGGATACAAGAGACCCTAGTATACACACACACACACACACACACACACACACACACACATACACGCACACACGCGCACACACACACACACACACACTTCTCTGCTTGGGGGTTGAGGTACCTGGAGAAATGGCTCAGCAGTGAGGACACTTATTTGCTCTTCCAGAGAACATGAGCTCAGTTCTCAGCAACCACGTCAGGCAGCTGACAACTGCCTGTAACTCCAGATGGCCTCTGAAGTCACCCATACACACGTGGCTTCCACAGACATATGTGCATAAATAAAATACATCTCCTTTAAAAAATCTATGTAGGGCATTTGCAGCCCAGAAAAAGGGCAGGACAGTAGTGACAGGGGGGTGACACACAGAAAGCAAACAGAAGGACACAGAGTGACGCAGCCGTTTATTGTCTGCTGCTTCGCAGAGATGCTGCAGATGTCAACACGGAGTTAGGAAACCCTGTGTGACCAAACAGCTGAGGGACAGAGGTAGAAAGGGACAAAGTGTGCTTTATGCGTTGATATTGGGCAACAGTGCGGGATGGCCAGAGATCCTCCCAGGGAAGTCAGCTCAGTCCAGGGAGTGCTGCAGCTCTCTTCCCAGGCAGCCAGGCAGCCAGGCAGCCTAGACCTGCAAGTAGGGCTGTGCCTGTCCCTGAACCTCAGGGTACATCTGGAGGACCCATCCTTGCTCCTCTGTGTGAGCATGGACATGCAGTGAGGGCTGGGATCACAGGGTGGGTTAAGGGTTCCCCTGCCTTGTCCTGGGACACACTGGACTCAGATTTCCCAGTACTCTCACTGACTCAAGCCACAATAGTCTGTGACTCAATGGCACTCTCTTCAGGAAAAATTGAGAAAATCAGAAGACAACGTCCACAGAACTGGAGGGATGGCGCAGGGTTAATGTCATTTGCTGCTCTTCCAGAAGACTAGTGTTCAGTTCCCAGCACCCACAGCAGCCGCTCACAACTGTCTGATCTCCAGCTCTAAGGGGTTCAGCACCTTCTTCTGGCCTCTGTGGGTACCTGCACACACACACACACACACACACACACACAGAGAGAGAGAGAGAGAGAGAGAGAGAGAGAGAGAGAGAGAGAGAGAGAGAGAGAGAGAGAGATTTTGTTTTGTTTGGGGCTTTTTTCTTTTCTTTTTTGGTTTTTCGAGACAGGGTTTCTCTGTAGCTTTGGAGCCTTTCTTTCCTAGACTATCTCTGTAGACTAGGCTGGCCTCAAACTCACAGATCCACCTGCCTCTGCCTCCCAAGTGCTGGGATTACAGGCATGCACCACCGCCACCTGGCAAGAGAGGGAGTTTTTGTTACTGTCTAAAAGAGCAGATCTAACCCATACCAAGCACCAGTACCAGAATTAAACACTAGCAGAGACTCTCAGGACCTTGGTGGCAGGGGAATGCACATGCTCTCTGAATGAGTTTCCTTTCATCAGAGTCAGCTCCAGGCACCCATCAGCAACAGGAGAAGAGTGTCTGGTTGACAGGATGCAGGTATGGACATGGGCTGCAGGGCAGAGGTGTCTCCTGTCAACCTGGACAGAATGGAACCTCCTCCAAGAGCACCACACCTGTCCTCAAGTAGGGGTGTTAAGGGTGTAACTACTGGTCTCCCTGCAGCGGCGGCCGCAGGTGCAGAGTCTGAGCTGCGGCAGCACGAGTCATGGCTGGACAGGCTTTCAGAAAGTTTCTCCCGCTCTTCGACAGAGCGTTGGTTGAAAGGAGTGCCGCCGAAACCGTGACCAAAGGTGGCATCATGCTTCCTGAAAAGTCTCAAGGAAAAGTCTCGCAAGCCACAGTAGTGGCTGTGGGATCGGGCGCCAAAGGCAAGGGTGGAGTCAGCCGGTCAGTGTGAAAGTCGGAGACAAGGTTCTTCTCCCAGAATACGGAGTAGTTCTAGACGACAAGGATTACTTCTTATTTAGAGATGTGTCACATGAAGCTGCCCATTCCACTGACGGTCTGAACTATTCATCATGTAAATCATTTCCATGCCTCCCTTTTATAATAAACTGATGATGCCCAAACTAAAAAAAAAAGGAATGTAGTTACTGGCTGGATGTGGTGGTATACACCTTTAATCCCAGCACTTGGGAGGCAGAGGCAGGTAGATCTTGTTTAGTTCAAGACCCACCTGTGTAGATGTAACCAACCTTCTTACTCAATAAGAAACACAGAACCAATGCAAAGAAGCCAAGAGGTCAGAGCTAAGAGCTAAAACCTTACCCTTCCTCCTGCGGTGGTCCTGCCTCTCCGAACCAGAGCTACTTTCTGTGTTAAAGTCCTTATATAGAATTTCTGTTCTGCCTTCTCATTGGTTGTAAACCCAACCCACATGACCGCCTTGTCACGGCCTGTCTGTATAGACCTCCAGGTTTTCCATGATTGGTATTGAGATTAAAGGCATGTGTATCCAATAATGGCTATATCCCTGAACACACAGAGACTTACCTAGCTCTGCCTACCAAGTGCTGGGATTACAAGCGTACGCCACCACTGCCCTGCTTTCCTATGGCTTGCTAATAGCTCTGACCCTGGGGCAACTTTATTTATTAACATACAAATAACATTTTAATACAAATAAAATATCACCATACACCTGGTCTATATAGTGACTTCCAGGACAGCAAGGGCTACAGAGTGAGACCCTGTCTCAAATGACAAACAAACAAAAAAGAATGTAATTACCCCCAAGACACCTACTTTGCAGATAAACAATGTGTCCTGTAAAGAGCCTTGGGAAGGTGGGGGTCTGGCCCAATTGGCAATGTGCTCTCCCTGGCACGCACAAAGCCCAGGATTCCATTCTTGGTACTGCAAAAAAACTGACCATGATGGCACAGACTTATAATCCTACATTTGAGAGGTGGAGGCAGGAGGATCAGAGATTCAAGGTCATCCTCTGATATATCCTATGATACATAAGACCCTGCCTCAAAACAGGAGCAGCAGCAAGAAGCAAAGTAACTTCTGAATGCTTCTTACTGAAGAACCTATCTAGCATGGCCTAGATGAGGACACATGGAAGCAGAGCTGAAACCTATATCCATCCTCTGTGTCTTCTGTACTCAAATAGCCAGATGCTGAGTATACTGAGTGCTGGGATCCATTCCAGAGTAGCCAGGAGCCCTTCTCAGGGTAAATTTTTAAGCACAAAATACTTGCTTGACATACTTAGGGTAATAAGAATAGAAACCCAGGCAGGGCATGGTGGCATTTGCCTTTAATACCAGCACTCGGGAGGCAGAGGCAGGCAGATCTCTGAGTTCGAGGCTAGCCTGGTCTACAAAGCAAGTTTCAGGACAGCCAGAGCTGTTACACAGAGAAATCCTGTCTCTGGGGAAAAAAATAAAAAATAAAAAATAGCCAGAAGTGGAACTACAGAAGCCAAACATTGAGGAGAAGTCATTTAGAGACTTTCCCAGAACTAGGACTTTGATGGATGAGGTCTCTGTTTGTTTTGGCAGATGGTACTGTGTGCTAAGTTTTGTGACCTGAATGGTACTTCCATCATGGAATCGGTTCTGCTAAGGCCTGGGGGCCTGTTACAGCCTTCACCCCACATACAACTCTCTCTCTCTCTTTCTGTTTCTCTCTCTCTCTCTCTCATACACACACACACACACACACACACACACACACACACACACACACACACACACACAGAGGTGTGGCCGAGTGGGAGATAATCAGGTCATAGGTAATAGTGTCATTGCTCTAGGAAGACATAAATCATGTTCTGGATTCAGCTGTTTCCCTTAAGAATGGGCCTTTGACAGAAAAAAAGGAGCCCGGACCCTGGATCTCTTGTGCTATGGCCTCTCCCACAGGAGCTCCTGCCATTGTGATGACCTCACCAGAGGCCAACTTGATGGGTCAGCCACTGGGAACTCCCAGACTCCAGGACTATGAGTTAATAAACCTTATTTCCTTTTATATTGCTTAAACTCAGGTACTTTGTTGTAGCTCCAGAAAATATACGAAGACTTTGACGTCTAGGCTTGAGGAAACCACTCTTCCCTATGCTGGCACAGGGGCTCAACACCCTTGGTGGTCTTGAAAACTGGTCACATGTTTAACTAGACACAAAGACATCTTCAGCAGGCCATCGATACGGCTCAGCAGGAAAAGGTGCTTGCCACCAACCTGATGAGCTGACTTCAGTCCCTAGAACCTACAAGGGAGAAGGAGAAAATGGACTCCACGTGCTGCCGTAAGCACTCAAACACACACATGCAGTCACACGGGTACACACACAGCCCCAACACCCAGATTTTAAGGGACAGTTTCCACCTCCCTCTGCACCCTCCAGATCTGTAAGTGCCATTCTTGGCCAGTTGAGCCACCACCAGGGGTATCTAGGGAAGGAGAAAATAAGAAGAAAACTAGCAATGAAGGCAACTTTAATGGCTCAGGAGGGAGACCATTTGATTTAAACATGCATGACAATGAAAACCGAAAGCATGAAAGCTACGTGCTGAACCAGGAAAGCGAGGCTGATTATCTTGGTGGATACTTGTTCTTTGAAGGAAGATGATAATACAGTTGAGTGTGGGAAGGTGTGCGATTTTCTTAACTCCTCTAACAATATTAAGCCTTATGACAATGTATGGCTGTAGTTTTTGATTTCTAGTGGATAGCTAGGTTCTTAAGCCAAAAGAAGACCCTGAGGCAGCCTGAATTTGACTTGATGGTAAGCCAGACCCTCCCCAGTGGACTTAAGGAGAGAGGGTCCTGTCCTTCAGGACTCTCCTCAAGAAGATCTTGGTGTCCCGAGCAACTAGTTCAATGACAATCTGAAGTCTCCGGTGTCTGAAGCCACGGACGACAGAGTTCCACAAGCCATACCACAATGAGAATGCTAGACACTTGAGGAACATGGTCACGGGAAAACACATCATGAGTCTCAGTCTCCAGTCCATCTTGTGCAAGTCCTGGAACCTCATGGCCCTGTAGCCCATCTCCAGTGTCCCTGTCCTCTGAGCCACCTGCTGAAGTGACCAATCATCCACACCAAAGGACTTCTGGTAGGTCTCAAGACTCTCCTCGAGGTCAGCAGCGTCACACATTCGGCTCACGGGTGTCTCCAGGTGATTTGTGGGCACACCTTCTTTCAGAGAGAACGCCTTCCTGTCGATGCTCTTGTCACAGATTTCAGAGAGGATCTCTAAGGAATCTGCATACCTGATGTTTGAGAGGTCTTTTTTCAGTGTGTCTCTAAGCTTCGGGAAGTCATGTGATGAAGGCTCAAAGCTGGATACCAGGAATATTGGTGGCACCTTCACCCTCTCCTTCTGGAGGTTCTCCTGAATACTCTCCTGGATACTCCGCATAAGCTGGGGTTCTGAGTGGGCACTTGTACCGAGGTCCCTGTCCAGCTTTGTCCAGACGACGTAGAACCTCTTTCTCATCCTCTGCATGGCTTTGGCCAGCTTCACATGGTTTGAACTGAACTGCTCAGAAGCGATGATGATGATAAGGTCATATTTGTCAAACTCCATCTCCTCCAGGTAGTTCTCCATGCTCTGGGCTGTGACCCCTGTGCCAGGCAGGTCCCACAGGTCCACATTGGATAAGCTGGAGGAGGAGTAACAGGCTGGTTTCTGGGTGGTCCTCACCACCCCAGTGGGAGCTGAATCCTCTTCCTCATGTCCAATGAGCCTAAGGGCATTGATGAAGGATGACATGCCATTGCCAGAGTCCCCAGTCACAGCAATCCTTACTTGGTATCCACACATTCTCTGCATTATATCATTGACCACATGGATCACATTCAACAGGTTCCCCTCTTTCACAGCTTTATCAATTTTCTCACTGACTTCTTGAGAGAAAATGATCTGGCTGGAATAGGATGGCTCACTATCACTCTTGAGAATAAGCCATCCACTGATGAGAGATTTTGCCATGTTTACTAAATGTATAAAAGCCTGCAGAAGAAACGAGACAGAGTCAGACACAGGATGACACAGGAATCCACAGAAGTCACGTTCCCCAGCCATGGGTTCAGATCTGCCACCAGGGACAGCCAGGGCACCTCACTTGAACAGTGGGCCACCTCCTCTGCGATGGGGCTGCTCTGCAGATACACGGCCCTTCACAGTGCACACTTCACAGCCGCACTGGGGAGGTTTGAACCCGAGCTGCAGAACGTCAGCTGGGTCCTTCAGCGGGAAAATGGGTGGGCAGGTCTGACCACTGCAAAAGCCAGCTCTCCACACCCAGACTTTCACTGTGCTTCTCCTTAAGAGTCAAATAATCAGCCAGGTGTGGTGGCCCATGCCTTTGATCCCAGCTCTCAGGAGGCAGAGGCAGGTGGATCTCTCTGAGTTCCAGGAAAGTCTGGCCTACACAGCCAGTTCCAGGTCAACCAGGACTACGTAGAGAGACCCTGTCTCCAGAAGAAAAGATTAAATTTCCGTTTCTGTGTGTCTGCACTATGAAAATTGGGATACTATTCACCAGTAACTACCTGCACAGAAGCACCTGTAACCCATCAACTTCAGCAGACAGCTCAAACCAACTTCCCAAATAGTCTAATGAGCCTGAGGTTTTTTGTTCATTTGATTTTTAGATTTATTTGTAGGTATGCATGTTTTGCCTGGATGTATGTCTGCATACCATGTGTGTTCCTCCTTTCCTCAGAAAGTGGAAGAGAGTGTCAGATCCCCTAAGAGGGGAGTTACAGTTGTGAGCCACAACGTGGGTGCTGGGATTAGAACTCAAGTCTTATACAAGAACAGCCAGTGTGCTTAACTGCTGAACCACCTCTCCTAACCTACTAATTATTAATAAGCAGTAAGATTTGTGTGTCCCTGTGTGTTGGCATTGGAACTAATACAAGGATTCAGACTATTCTGCAAACAGGGCTTGGCTAAATCCTTACAGTAAGATTGAAACATTTGTGAGCCAAGGTTGTAATGAGAATTGGTTTTGGTGACCTAGTGGGTTGTATTTAAGATCACAACTCCCCACATTGTTCCTAGGTGATGGGCCTTCTTCACAATGACACTATCAACAGGGATTGTTGGAACATGGATTTGGGGGAAACATAAATCTGTGTCCCAGGGTCAGGACCAAAATGGCTCCAGAACAAACTATCTCTTATGTCCTTAACAGAAGAAAAACTCTATCTATTAAGATGATCAGATGGCAGTTGGGTCAGTAGAAAACTTGCCCATCTTGCTATGACTGCCTCTCTGACGTACCCACCAATGTGTTTTAAATTTATCTTGATTTATGGCTTTTTTTTTATTCTGTAAAACTATAAAAACTTCATGAAGCTTCCATGTTAGAACATGAATGTGGGGTAACCTACATCTCTATTCCTGGACCATGGTAACTCAAAATGGCTCCAGAATAAACTACCTCTTATTTCCTTTTTAAAAAAAAGAAAAAAGAAAAAAGAGAGAGAGATTGCTTGGAAATCAAAGTTCTTATTTGTACATCACTACCAATGTTTAAAAAAATTAAACCCAAGAGGCTGGGGTGTGGAACTCAATTGATAGAGTGCTTGCCTAGCACTCATGCAGCCTTGGGGTCAATCCCTAAGGCCACAGTAAACTGGGCATGATGCCATATACTCGGATTCCCAGCATTTGGGAGTTGGAGGCAGGAGGATAAGAAAATTAAGGGTATCCTCAACTACACAGTAAGTTTGAAGCTAGTCTGGACTACATGAGACCCTGACTCAAAGAAAATAAAAGAAAGAAAGAAAAGAAAGAAAAATCTAACACTTTCTGTGTGTATCACCATCAACCTCTTTAAAAATTTTCAAATCCCCCTGGGCAGTGGTGGCACCTGCCTTTAATCCCAGCACTCTGCAGGCAGAGACAGGCGGATCTCTGTGAGTTCGATGCAAGCCTGGGCTACAATGTGAGTTCTAGGAAAAGTTGCCAAAGCTACAAAGAGAAACCCTGTTTCAAAAAAAAAAAAAAAAAAAAAAAAAAAAACAAGAAAAACAACAACTCCAAATCTCAGTAAGATGTAGTGGTAAATGCCCTTCATCCCAGCAGAGGCAGGCAGATATCTTGAGTTCCAGGCCAGCCTGGTCTACAGAGCGAGTTCCTGGACAGCCAGGGCTACACAGAGAAACTCTGTCTCAAAATTAAACAAGCGAGCAAGCAAGCAAACAAAAACAAAAACTTCAAAACTCAAGACCATCTCTTTAATCCACACAGTGTGTATCAGTTCCATGAAGAGCTCCTAGCCAGACCCACCCCTGGATCCCACCTCTGGATCCCATGAAGCAACTGAACTCTTGTCCTGTCCTCACACTGAAGTGTCGGGTGTCTGCCCCATAAGGCCTACTATTCCATCTGCGGGACCACTTCCAGGGTTCAACTTCTGAGAGTTGGTAGTTTCCTGTGATGGCCCTATCCAGATCTCTCCTGGAGTGTCCTCTCAGTCCTTTCCTGGGATGCTTCCTCCTTTTGTTCCCCTCCTGGGGTGGGTCCACTTCTGCTCCCCAAACCCTTCCTGCTGCTCCTTACACAGTCCTTGGGCCTGGGCATGACCTCTACATGGAAGGAATAAGCCAAGAGCCCACACCAGTGTTTGAAGACTCACTCTGCTCCTTGAAATGCAGACAAGTTTCTAAAGTCTCAGTTTTCTGACCCAGCACTGGGTAAGCCATGCTACCCACCTTCCAGACCGTGTGTACACACATGATGACTGAATACATGGGATGCTCTCTACACAGCTCTCTACTGTCTGGGAAAGCCATGCTACCCACCTTCCAGACCGTGTGTACACACATGATGACTGAATACATGGGATGTTCTCTACACAGCTCTCTACTGTCTGGGAAAGCCATGCTACCCACCTTCCAGACCTTGTGTACACACATGATGACTGAATACATGGGATGTTCTCTACACAGCTCTCTACTGTCTGGGTGAAGGCTCCTTAGTCTCAACTCAGATCTCTAGGCTGGTGTTCCTCTGGTTCTTCCTTCTCCCTTCAACTTTATGCAGTATGAAGGTCTACGTCCGTGGGCCTGAACTTCGCGGGGCTCTCACAAGCCTTATGATCATTAATCTTCTTCAGAACCTATTAGAAAAATGATATTACAACACCTGAGTACAGATGGAGAGATATATTGTTAGAAATAAATACGGAGGTCTTTGTGCCATGTTTCCATGCTGACAACGTCATGCTCATGGATGTCCCGGCAGAGATTCTCAAGAGCATCAATAGTGCTGAGGGAAGAGGCAAATGCCAGGTCCTCATCAGGCCATGCTCCAAGTCATCATTCGGTTCCTACTGTGAGGATGAAGCGTGGACACACTGGTAAATTTTAAATCACTGATAATCACAGAGCTGGGAAAATTGTTGTGAACCTTACAGGCAGGTTGACCAAGTGTGAAGTGATCAACCCTAGATTTGATGTACAACTCAAAGGCCTAGAAAAAAATGGCAGAACTGTCTGCTCCCATCCTGTCAGCTTGGCTTCATTGTGCTGACAACCTCAGCCTTCACAGACCACAAAGAAGCAAGACAAAAACACACAGGAGGGAAAATACTGGGATTCTTTTTCTAGAAGTGTAAAATACATAAATAAAAAGCCTCTGTGAACTGTTCTAAAGAAGGAAGAAAGTGAGGGAGGGAAGGAGAGAGGGAGGGAAGAAAGAAAAAAGAAAAAGAAAGACACTAGCAAGCACACTCACATGTGTGCACACTCACACTCACATGTGTGCACACTCACACTCATATGTGTGCACACAAACAAGCCTCACACTCTCACACCTCAGGAGAAGGTCATATACACAGTTTACGTGGCTGCACTTTGGTCTGCTCTACATCATTGTGTTCTGTCAAACTGGGTTTCGTTGTGTTCTCTCAAAGATTAAAGATGAACGCTAGCACCCCGGTGAAGAGCCAGCTTCTCCAATGCAGATAAAAACACTCAACTGACTTAGACAAAAAGTTCACTTAAGAAGCTAGCCTCCAAGCCAGAAGCCCTAGTCCCTGAGTGTTCCACATGAAGTACACATACACTTTACATAATCCCGGACATCCCAATATTGCCAGTGGGAAGTTCTGATGCTGGATTCTGATCCCAAAGGGAACATCAATAGAGTGGTTAAGGTAATATTAGTGAAACCCCATCTGCTTTCTCTAAACTAGGCCTCATCAGAAGACCCACAATCCAGGGATATGAGGTAAGAAAGGGGCACATTGCCTCTCTGCTGGTGGGGTGGAAAGACTCTTTTCAGCCAAAACACAAGGGACTGTGTGGTCCTGAAGAAGATCAGGGCAGGTGCCTGCTGCACACAATCCCTGAGAGGAACACCAGACTCCAGACTCTCCTGCCCTGAGCAGTTTATAGGCCAAGCTGCAGTTAGGAGCCTCTCACCTACCTGCTCAGAAGCCTTGTAAAACTGGAATCCAGGCCCAGGATGTTCAGGAGGAGACAGTCGAGCAGTGGAGGGCTGGGGTTCTCCTGGGATGAACGATAGAGGAGGGCAGCAGCTGAAGGGAAGCCTGAGCTCCTGGGCTTCCTCTCAGACCGTGCTCCACTTTGTACTCTGCTCCACGCTGTACTCTGCTCCTCTCAGACCCTGCTCCACTTTGTACTCTGCTCCAGGCTGTACTCGGCTCCTCTCAGACCCTGCTCCACTCTGGACTCTGGTCCACGCTGTACTCTGCTCCTCTCAGACCCTGCTCCATGCCGTACTCTGCTCCACTCTGGACCCTGCTCCACTCCTCACTTGTAGGCAGGAGCCCTGCCTGCCTCCCCAGAGGGAGGGGCCTGCAGCCAGAGTAGCTTTCAGTTTCTGTTCCTGGAAATGGTTCGTTTTCAGGATTCAGCTGCACAAGTTCCACTCTCCTTCAGAGAGTGGGGGCAGGTTTCTGCCAGAGGGCCAGGCTTGAGGGTGGGAAGTCTGCCCAGGAACAGTGACATCCGATTGCAGTCAGAGCCTTCTGGTGTGACCCTGCTGCCTCCCTTCCTGGAGCCCCCTTCTTGCTCAGATGATGGCACCTAACCCCTTCAGACCCTGTGAGCCCTAGTGCTTAGAGAGCTGCAGACCCTTCATAAGACTGCCCCTCACAGCTGCTGTCCCTGCTCGGTAGTTTACTGGCTCCCTCTTACCCCACTCAGCTCAGTGCCAGAAAATTCCACCTAACAGGAAACTTCTCTGTCCCGCTCCAGTCTTGTCATCTAGCCAGGATCAAGGCATGTGGTCCCAAGAGAATATGTCACCTTTAACTGATCTTCTGTCCATGCATCTCTCTGAGTTCAAGAAAGTTTCACAAAAAAAACATCACTCTCCTCTGTATGCTCAGTTACCACTTCCTGGGCAACATCTTTGTTCAGGGCCACACACTGGACCACTGATATGCCCAGGCTGAGGGGAATGGGCTGGTTAGCAGGACAAGACATAGTGACTGAGGAGGACTTCGCAACTGTCAGCACAGTTCATGCGCCCTGGAGTGTCCTGATGTCTCCTACTGGCCCCAGCTTTCAATGTCACTCACTGTCTCTTGACTTCCCTTGTCCCCCATCCCTTCTTTCAATATGTGTACTGAAGTGTATGTGTGTGAACCACATGCATGCATGAGCCTCAGAGGTCAGTGGGGGGCCCTGGAACTAGAGTTATAGGCAGTTGTGAGATGTGGAGGCCAGGCCATGTGGATGCTGGGAACCGACCTTGAGGCTTCAGTAAGAGCAAAAGCCTCAGCCCCTCCTCCTTGTTTCTGAATCACAACTCTTGTTAGGCATACCAGTTCCACTGCAGGAAGAGCAAGGGTCCTCCAGGCTGCCCCTTCCCACAGGCCCAATGGAGCACGGCGAGGCAAAGCCTCCATGCCCCAGCCGCTTGTTGATTCTCTGTCCTTCCTGTCCCCTTCACAGAACAGGATTCTGGCCGCCCACACTCTCACTTCAGTAGCTTTCTCAGGGTCTATGATGCAAGTTGCAACCTCAGAAATCCCCGCAGGGCCCAGTGCTTACCTCTGTCCTGGGGCTAAGAGCTGCACTGTGCTGACTAGGCCACCTGACTCTAGGAGCAAAGGAGGGCTTGAGTCCCCAAAGTGGGCACCACTGGCCACCTGTCCAGGTATGTCACGGCCCCATTCTTTTTTATAATAATAAAACACTTTTTTAAGATTTTCTCATTTCATGTGTATGAATGTTTTGCTTGCATATATATCTGTGTATCATGTGTGTACCTAGTGCCCACAGAGATCAGAAGAGGGTGTTGGATCCCCCAGAGCTGGAGTGATGAGTGGTTTATGAGCCACAATAGGGTTGCTGTGAATTAAACCCGGGTCCTCTGAAAGAACTTGGGCTCTCACCACTGAGTCATCTCTCCAGCCCGTCAAAGCCTTGCTCTACTGTGGGAATCTGTAGGGAAACCTCCCTGGGGTCAAGAAAAGGAGGCCCCTGGGGGCAAGGGCTTTGCCATGCAGTGACGGAGGGAGAGGTGACTAAAAGAGTTTTTTTAAGTGTCTTTGTCACCCTTGACTTCTGTCACTCCAAAAAGGACAGCAGGCAGGCTGGCCCCCTTGAGCTGGAGTATTCCTGACTGATGAGCTCAGTCACTAGATGATTGACAGGCCAGGGAGATGAAGTCAGTGAGGTGCTCACTGTGTAAGCCTCAGGGCCCTGAGCTCAGTCTTCCAGGTCTCAAAAGCTAGGCATGGTGATATGTGTGAGTGATTTCAGTGCCGGCGAGATGGAGACAGGCTGATGGCCCATGTTGTAAGCCCAGTTATAGGGAGGGACCGTGCCTCAAGAAACCAGGTGGAGAATATCCGAGGAACATGGCCCAAGTAGCCCTTTAGCCTCCACATTGGTGCACACACACACACACACACACACACACACACACACACACACACGCACTGACTTATAATGAAAGTATAAAAGGCCCCTAGGTCCAGGCTGTCTCTAGCCCTGAGACCCAAAGGAGACGCTGTGCATGGGAACTTCCCCATGCTCTCTCCTGTGTGAGGAGCATTCGCTACACCAGGGGACATCAGCAGGACTGCCACTGTCCACTTGTGTTCTTCTCTGCTCTTTGCCCTTATAGCTGGCCTCTGCCTCCCCACTGCCATAGGAGCAAGAACAAGAAGCAGACTCCTGTCCCTGCTGGGCCACAGGTGATTTCCATTTCATAAGAAGCTGAAGGTGCCGGGTGGTGGTGGCACACGCCTTTCATCCCAGCACTCAGGAGGCAAAGGCAGGTGGATCTCTGGTAGTTTGAGGCCAGCCTGGTCTACAGAATGAGTTCCAGGGCAGCCAGGACTACACAGGGGAGCCCTGTCTTGAATAAATAAATAAATAAATAAATAAATAAATAAATAAATAAATAAATAAATAAATAAACAAATAAAACAAAAACAAAAAAACCAAGCAAACAAAAAATAAAAAGAAGAGCTGTGTCCCGCTTTCACATCCCAATTCTTGTATATATGGATTTTTTTCTTGTTTTTGCATTCTAACAAAAGCTTCCCCTTCCCATCTTCCCAGCCCCTTCATCTCCCCTCCTCCCAGCTCCCGTCTTCCCCCCTTCCCTGCCCCACTCCCTCCTCCTCCACTCAGATGTAGGCAGACATCCATCCCATGGATATCAGCCAGCCACGGTGTATCAAGCTGCACTGAGACCAGGCACCCACGCTTCCTCCAAGGTCGGATGACACAATTCAGCAGGAGGAATGGGTCCCAAAATCAGGCAGCAGGGTCAGAGACATCCCCTGCTCTCACTGCTGGGATATAAGTGATTGATTTTTTTTTCAGTAACAGCTAGAGGCACTCCCTCCTCTGCCTGGGGAGCCAGCTCTCCCAGGAAGCCTAAGGAGGCGTGGCTGCTGTAAACAGTTATACACTCATCCTGGCACCAGCAGTTTCCATGTCCCGTTCTCAAATAAAGTGGGTCCCCAAGAAGTTTGGAAGAATGCTTTAGATTCTTCCATTTTAATGATCCCAGCATTCCAACTTAGGAGCTTTGGTCAGTCAAGCATTCCTCCCAAGAATGAGTACAGCTGGTGTTCTCTGGGAGGGACCCTGGCTGGCACAGCAGGGTCTATTTATAGACTGGGCACCAGACAGAAGTTCAGGAAAGTGACTTGGCAGTTAGATGCAGTGTGTGGACACAGGATATGCAGAGCACAGGAAGCCTGCTCTTGAAGCCATTTACCCAGAATCTCCTTCCAGCTGGGGCAGTATGGAGTTAGGGCTGCATCCTGGGACCAGGGCTTTGTAACCCCTCACATGGCTACCCACATAGAAGCTGTGTCTGTAGATCATCTCCCCGTGGAATGAGTATGGGAGCTAGTCACCTCGAAACCATCACCTCCTTCTTGCTCCCTTCACTCAGCAAGCTGTGAAAAGGCTCGGGCGTGAATTCCTGTCTTACACTGAGAAGTCTGGCTGGTCAGACCTGCTGTGTGCTCTTCTGTACTGTGCGTGAACATCGCCGACACTTCTCAGGGATGTGGGACCTGTACCCACTCGCAGGCGTTAAATGGGGGTGTTTGCCTGGAGCTACATGCTCTGGGGCATGTGTCGCACATGAAAACGTTCAACACATGTATACACGAACACATGTGCCTAGAGGCAGGCAGACACAGAGCTCTCCCCTTCTGGTGGCCCAGGTTGATCAAGTCACTTTTCATTTACTTTGAAGCTAAATAAAGGACCCTGGCATCCCTCTCAGAGGTGGTGGGGGAGGGGAGCCCTAGCTCCAGATCGAGCAGATTTGGTGTCTCGTTGACATGGTTCCCACAGGTGACACCAAGTCATACCATGCTTGTCTCACTGTGACATGGAGGCTCTCTGTGGCTCTGAGGGAACTGACTTCCTGGTCTCTGGCTGTCCTGGGGCAAAGGTGGCTGTTGTCCTCTCTGTCCCACCTCACCTCACAAGGCACCTGAGTCAGGGCCCCAGTTATCATAAAACCAGCTGCTCCCCAGTTCAAAATAACTGAGGAGTTCATGGTGGGGTCCAGAGATAAGCTCGCCTCCTACCTCTGCCCTCGGATCAGCTAACAGCCCCAGAAGTCTACCGCAACTGGAGAGAGCATCTGTGTCCGGACAACTCCTTGGAGGAGTCAGTCCTGTTCCCAATAACTTGGGGTGTGATTCGGCCAAAAAGAAATGTGTTGTTCTTGTTGTTGAAAATACTAGGTCTCCCTCCGTTGATCTAAGTGGTGCTGATCGGGTGGCTTGCCAGAAGCTAGAAGTGACATGGATTGGGCTAGAGGACACAGATTCAACTTCCTTCTGAGCCCTCCCTTCCCTTAAAACCCAGGGATTCTCTGCTGACCTGCATGATCTTCAGGAGTGCTGGCATGCTTGCTGAAAGGGAATTTGCATTTTCAGAGGTTTGTCCAGATGGCCAGATTTGTAAGAAAAGTGAAAATAGGCAGAAACCAGACAGTCAACCTCACCAGGTTGAGGCTGTCTTAGTGAACAGTGAGGGGCCCCAACCTTTCTGGGGGATGAACGTCCACCACACTTAGAGGGGCTAGGAGACATGTATATGTAGATGTGTATATATATATATATAGACATGTATATAGAGGTAGCTACCAGCAAGTTACAGCTTTTTGTGTGTGTGTGATTTGACTGACAGCAAGGTGGGTTGTTTTTGAGGCCCAGGCATTTTGTTTCTGCAGATGGAGCAGAATGATCAGGCTGGGACAAAGGCAGTTTTTATGGGTAGAGGCTATTGCCCAGTACAGCTTGACTCAGTTCTTCATGACCTGAGGCTATTACCCAACACATATAATATACCCGCCTAACATCTTAGCAAACTTTACAGGGTCAA